CAAAAATACCATTAGGTCGTTCAGGAACTGCCATGTATTAGAATTATTTTAATTATTATTTATTATTATTTGCTGTTGAAACGTTTTTTTTAAGACTGGTGAATCTGTAATTGCAACACAGAGAGCTTTTCTTGCTCCTTTCATGCTACATCGAAATGAGGCTGTTACGAATAGAAAATCGACATTGATATGGGTTAAACATTTCTGGACCACATCATCATCGCTTACAAGAGAAAGTTGAAACGCGCGAATTCTGGGTGATGGAGAACTTTAGAAATTGTCTACAATAGTGTATGGCAAACAGAGGTCACCATCTGGAGGATGTCATTTTAAAAAACAAATGAATAAAGATTTTAGTCCTTTCTTTAAACAGCAGTTAAATCAATTTTTGAATAGCAGTTACCTTGGCCTTTTTGTCAACAATTAAAATAAGGGAAGTATTTCTGCAGTATCTATTATTATTATTATTATTATTATTATTAACCCCAGTACTGTGACAGGAATTATCTGAACAATGTTCTGGGGTCGTTTATCGGTAAGAGATGATTATAACTTAATATCAGGAAGAAGTAGTTCATATTTCTGGCGCATATCATGAGAAAGAAGGGCTTGGAAAATCTGATACTCACAGGAAAGATTGAAGGAAAGCTGAAAAGAGCAATAAATGACACTGAGAAACATATTTTTCTAAAAAAATAGAAAGAGAAAGATTTAAAATTTTTAACGACTGCAATCTACAATGGCGATTTTTCTAAGCGTAGTTTCGATGCTCTACAAGACTGAAAATATTTAGCCGCCAGTAAGGATCGAACTCACGACTCTCTCGTAACAGACCTATCTAGCCAAGCTGGCTGACCGTTAGCCTACATTGAAGTGCCCTACGGCAGCAATCTAAATGCATAGTCAATAAATGTCGAATATTTCCTTATAAGGAAACGGTTAATATTACCTTTACTAATACCGTTTGCTTAAATCTGAGCTGTTCTTTAAATATTCAAATTTCCTTTTTATATACACCCTAAGAACTTTTCAGAAATTTCAGGAAACATAACAACGCCGAATATATCTTGAAGAATAGCTGTTATTATTTCTGTTATTCCTATTTCGAAAGAGACTGTAGACACTGCCTACATGGGATAAGTGATTACGTGAATTTTTAAAATAGTACCTCGTATATATATATATATATATATATATATATATATATATATATATATATATCATTTTCTGTCAGAATGGCTTTAGGAAAATGCATTTTCTTTATTATATATCAATTGGAATGGATTCGTCTGAAGCATTCTGGAGTAGATTCCATTATCTTCTCCACGTCTTTGAATTGTGTTTCTCTTAGAGAGCCAAATCTACTCTGCTATTTAACCCATCGATAAGGAGGGAGGAAGAAACGGATTTTCAACAACAGACTTGGGCGGAAATTAATCACTTGATCTCTTCTCGCTTATTACATTGGTAACTGTTTCGCTGCCCGAAGAAAAAAACTCCCACGTGGGTGCTCTCATGAACAATAAAATCTTAACCTTTTCAATTTAAAGGTGAATTGTTATTTTCCTTTTTATCCTCATAATATTCACACTCTGCCATAGCTGCCTTCATTCATATCATATACCTCATTTATCATTTGATTTTTAACAGCCCTATAACTTGAGTAGCTCGTGCCTTTTGTTGGTTGAATTATATTATAACAAAACTTTAACTAGGGTACCCGCTGTTTTTATCTACTTTCCTTGGCTTCAGTAAATCCCGTGAGTGTTAAATCATACCTACTCTCCTTTTTCATTTTATATTCCAGAAATTTCAAGTGTTTCTGACTAAGAAGTTCCCTGTATTTTACTATTTTTCTAAACGCGTCCTCGTTGACCGCTCTCTCTGTCGAAGTTATTCTCAGAAGACATTAGAAGAACCTCAACTATGTGCGTGCTCAAATCATTTTTTATCTGTGAGAAGATTGTCTAGCTACCCTCGGAAAAATAAACCAAAGAGATTTCATTCATTTTCATTCGGTTATTACATAAATTTGTTCATTTGTAATGGTAAGTGTAATTGCCTTTTCCGTACAAGGAAGTATTTAGTATTCATTGACCGAACAACATTTATTGTTACCAACTTAAATTTATAAAATCTTTCTTTTAAAATACTTTTTTTAGGAAAACCTTTCTCTCAAGACCAGTAACTTTAATCTCTCTTTCCAGTAATGATGAGGGTCGCCATCGGAACCTTCTATTTGAAGCGGTGTGGAATGTTAATATCTTGATTATGTCAAGATTTTCTCTTCGTGTTATATGTGCTATCCATTTTAGTTGTTGCTACTGTTGATAATCCTCAAATGATGTTTCTGTTATTTGGCATAGTTCTTTGTGATTGTGCAGCGCCAGTTCATAATGTTCAAAGAAGGATGATCTTTGCCAAGATCCTCAGGGTTTTCTCGCTCAAAGCCTTTTTTTTACCATTGATCTTAGGAAGCTGTTGCATACAGCTGACAGTTGAGATATTTCTCAAAGGAGTTGGTGCCATTTATGAAAATTTCGATCTGATTAGGCCATTTAATAATATGACTCGAGTTTTCAGGTTGATGTTTTGCTTTCGTGACAATTTTCAGTGTTGGGAGAAACTATATCTTTTATTTTAATACTTATGATTTATTAATAATTATGATAAATCATTCAACTATGAATTGCCTTTCTTTGCTGACGACCCCCCCCCCTGCCAACGCTCCACTGTTCAATGTCTCGACGATTGTAATCACTAGGTTTTGATTCGAAAAATTCATCAAGCCACGTTTAAAGTTCCACATCGCTGGTGAAGGAAACACCCCTCAAATTGTTAGAAAGCTACCGAAAAAGCTGGTTGTCTGGAGGGGCTAAATCAGTAGAATGCTGTGGGTGTGGCAGAACATCCTATCCGTGCTCTTTAATTGCATTTTTGGTTATGTTATCGACGTGGGGGAGGGTATTGTCATATTGAATAATCACACTGTATCGCCGGTCAGCTTCTTTTTTTCCAGATGATTTGCCTCTTTGTGACCCTCTTCATTTGTTTAACATACAGCTTAACATTAACCGTTTGGTTGTTTGGGGGCGTTTCATATCATTATCTTGACAATGAAGTCATCTTCGTACACGCCACAAATATCTCGAGCAGATTTGGCAACTTTGTGACCTTGATTAAAAGCAATGAGATAAAGATGTCAAATATGCCTTTTTTGTCTACATGACATTCCTTTTCAAACGGGTGTATAATCTAGAATAAAAAAAATCAGTAACATTAAACATCACTTTCACAAAATTACCAGGGTTAGCAAGAAGCAAATGTTAAGAAAACTTATTCTTAGAGATCATTCGTAGAACATCAGAATATATATATATATTAGGTTGGTGCAAAAATAATGACGTAATAATGTCGTCTTTTGACGTTAAAAAATACGTCAAAACGACATTATTAGGTCATTATTTTTGCACCAACCTTAATATATATATATATATATATATATATATATATATATATATATATATATATATATATATATATATATATATTGGCAACTTAATAGCTCCTAACTTTGAAATGAAAGCACTGATACTCAGGTAAGTGCAGACAATAATATGTAAATAAAACATTAGATTAATAATTAATGTGACACAGGGGTGGGTGGATTGAGCTCATTTAACAGGGTGGCAAAGATGCTTAGTATCCTAAGCATCGTTATCGGCGAAGCGAGTCTGTGCCCACGTGGGTGTATATGCCTGGGCACACGTGCGTGTGTCTGGGTACATTAGAGTACTCTGCATTGAATTTGTATAAGTGTCGTGCATGGGGTTGAATATTCGAGATGTTAATGCATGTGTGCGAAATTGAGTGTACATGAGTACACGTGTATTAGAAATATCTTCTGGTTAATAATGTATTTATGTATGCCTTTGTGTACAGGTAAGAACTGTCTGTTGATAAAAATAAATCTTTTGTACGTGGCTGGGCGCTCGCTCGGGCTAACAAGCAATTCTCTGACTTTATCTAAACTTCCTTCGAGTCTGGATATCCAGGAATGGTGAGGAAAAAAGGGACGAGACTCGTGACAAAGTCTGGCACCAAACAAGTTGACATGTAATCTCTTTGAAACAAAAATTGTTCTATTTTCTTATTTTTATTGTTTTGAACTATTTTTTTAATTGTTATTTGAATAATTGTCCCCTACTACTAAATGTACTTATTGAGTATTCATATGAAGGTAAACTGACTGTTTTCACAGGAGATAAAGATTTCAAATCTCGAGTACCTTTCTCAATAAAATCACAACCACCAGAAACGCTAGGTTTAGATAGTTTCATATCTTCTTTAAATTTCCAACTATGAAATTTCGTTTTCACTAGATAGGGTTAGGTTTAGAGGTTCGACTTAGGGTTATAGGCTTACGTTAGATTCTTGTTAGTTCCAAGTGCATCTCCTGTTAAGGGAAGGATTCTTGTTAGTTCCAAGTGCATCTCCTGTTAAGGGAAGGATTCTTGTTAGTTCCAAATGCATCTCCTGTTAAGGGAAGGATTCTTGTTACTTCCAAGTGCATCTCCTGTTATAGGAAGGATTCTTGTTAGTTCCAAGTGCATCTCCTGTTAAGGGAAGGATTCTTGTTAGTTCCAAGTGCATCTCCTGTTATGGGAAGAATTCTTATTAGTTCCAAATGCATCTCCTGTTATAGGAAGGATTCTTGTTAGTTCCCAAATGCATCTCCTGTTATGGGAAGAATTCTAAACTTCCTTTTCCTTATGTTTCTCAGTTCACAGACAATATCCTGATATTTCTATGATCTATCAGTTTTCTTCACGATCCGTCTCTGGTTCAACAATTGAACCAAGGCCAAGAGCTAACGGGTTCTTTCGTAATTATGTATGATTATCAAATTCAGTCATTTTTCTCAAGTTGTAGGACTTGTTCTCAAAGACAAAGAATTTTGAACAGATCTTACGGGTGGTTGGAGAGGGTTAATATACCAGTTCCTCTATGTTAATTGTTGCCCATTGGTTGCGACCTGGGTTCAAATCTCACCACTGTCAATTTCACCACACGTCTTTTTGTCTGCTTCTTTTCATTCCTTTTATTTTTCGTCTTCTTTACACTCTCTTTCCTTTTCTTTTTCTTCTCCTCTAAACTATCTCTCTTTTTCTTTTTCTTCTTCTTCTTTGCACTCTCCTTTTTCTATTTCATCTTCTTTCCACTCTCCCTCTTTTTCTATTTCGTCTTCTTTCCACTCTCCCTCTTTTTCTATTTCATCTTCTTTCCACTCTCCCTCTTTTTCTATTTCGTCTTCTTTCCACTCTCCCTCTTTTTCTATTTCGTCTTCTTTTCACTCTCCCTCTTTTTCTATTTCGTCTTCTTTCCACTCTCCCTCTTTTTCTATTTCGTCTTCTTTTCACTCTCCCTCTTTTTCTATTTCGTCTTCTTTTCACTCTCCTTCTTTTTTTATTTTGTTTCCTTCTTTGCGCTATCCTTCTTTTCTTTTTTGTTTTTTCCCCTCTTTCGTTTTTATATCTTTTTTCTACTTTTCATCGTACTCTATTTGGTTTTGTCTTTTGTTCTTAGTACAGTACTACGTTTTTTTTTTCATCTACTTCTGTGCTCACTTCTTCCTTTTCTTTTTTGTCCTTCTTTCTAATCTCCTTTGCACTCATTTTTCTCTTTTGTTATTCATCTGATTCTCCGTTTCTTTCCCTTTTCTTATACTTCTTTTTTTTTTACACTTTTCTTTTACTGTCAGATTATTTTCCTTTTGTTTTTTCTTACCTTGCTCTCCCCCTTGCCCAACCCAGAGCTTTTTCTCCTCACCTTTCCGCCTCCGTCCTATCCATTGCCCCCATAGTGACGCGTATGCGCACACATTTGCTTCCATTGTCACAGTTCGTCATTTGTGGCACTCTACAAGTAAAACCTCTCGCTCCAACCCCATGCCACGCAAATTGGTTGGAGCCTCTTGCCACAAGTGATCTAACCACGCAAACACCAGCTAACGTTGTTTCTTCCTTCTCGAGCGCCTGTCCAACACAAACTTGTCAATCAAAGGTCCGCTCTTGTTCCTCCGTGTCTAGAGAAGTGCAGCCTTTTCCTGGACACTCTGTGTCGAAAGCTTTTCAGATTGACAGGCGAGTGTGTTAGACAAGCACACGCGCATACACGTTGCAAGGAACGAAGGGAAAAATCATTTTGTGTTCAGATAGATTTTCCCTGTTCAAAATAGGCGGAACACAAAAACATTTCCTAGATAAAGAGTAATTATTAGCAAGCTAATATGGACAGACATTGTTTAAGAGTTCAATTCTGAATTGGAGTACTATCAATAAGGTATTCTTGTTTAGAATGGGGGCGCTGAAAAGGTCTTCACCTAACTCGCTTTCCCAAAACAACAGTCTGATGCTAAGAAATTTAAATGAAGATTTTAGGGAGTTGATCTGGTCGAGAACTTTACAGCATCCCTAGTAAGCAGTATGAAAAATGATTTAATATTACAAAAACGTTCTATAAACACACAAGTCATATCAGGCACGAAAAAAAGATTAAAAGAATTTTGGAAAATCAGACAGATACACACACACATACATACACACACATGCGCGCGCACACACGCTCGATATATTCGCATATATTGGGATGTAGATAATTACAGACACAAACACACACATATATATATATATACATATAAAAAGAGAAAAAAACGTAAACATTTTTTATTATAATGTAGATTTTTCTTATATATTTTATTCTATATATTTTATTCTATATATTTTACTAGACGTGTTTCGAGTCATGTGACTTTCATCAGGTGAAGAATGTTTTTTTACACATATTATTTAAAGGAATTGATTTGTTTTTCTTCCTATGTTAAATATTTTAACCATTGTCTTTTGTGTGTAGTAGAAATCACCTTGCATCCATCTTGGTCTGATCGAAAAAATGTTCCTTTGCTTGAAGGATAAAAAAACAAATAATTTTGGTGAGAGAAAGGAAAAGAAAGGAGGATGACTTTGATCCTATCTTTTTGTCTACGTGTATCCCTTTCTACACACACACACACACACACACACACACACACACACACACACACACACACACACATATATATATTTATATATATATATATATATATATATATATATATATATATATATGATGTACCCAAGTATAGGATTGGTGTATATTTGCACCTTTTAATCTACATTCAACACCATCACTTGATAAGACACCAGAAGTGTTGAAACAAAATGGTTATTTTTGTAGTGATTTTATAACATATTTATGCTATGATTTTTGAATAAATAATATATATATATATATATATATATATATATATATATATATATATATATATATATATATATATATAATAGTTAAAAGATTTAAAATAGGAGGAAAAAATAATTCCTTTAAATAATATATTGAAATAACCATTCTTTTGTCTGACGAAACCAGTGTAGAAAAATATACAGAAGAAAGTATATAAACAAAAATTCGCATTATAATAAACAACGTTTGCGTTTTTCTTTTTTTTTAAAATATATATATTTCTCACGTTGGAACAACAATAATCTCTCCATATATATATATATATATATATATATATATATATATATATATATATATATATATATATATATATATGTGTGTGTGTGTGTGTGTGTGTGTGTTTGTATATCTTTGTAAATTATTTTGAAATTGAGTGTATCTTTGAAGGAACAAAATCAATAAAAAGACAAGAGGAAAAACCATCCTTAGCTAACGCGTTTTGTCGTCTGCAGAACTTTGTCAAGGCAAAAGTAAGATTTATTTGGTTGACCTTATTTATATACAAAAGTCAAGAAAAAATATTCTTGACTATTACTCGCTTACTTTTGCCTTACCAGATTTTGAATTATGGCATTTTGTGTCTTCCATATGTTTTGACTGACTTTACAACCAGTTGATGAATATTCATGAACATTTTCAAATTTAAAGCATTGTTAAACCAATGACATCCTTACTTTTGTATATAAACACGTGCAACAATATAAATCCTGCATTTGTCTTGAAAATTACTTATAACTTTTGGTAATATCACCGCATTTGCCTGAAGAAATATTTATGGTGATTCCTAAAATGGACGAATAACATTGCTAATTTCTGTTTTTATTTCAGTGTGACAAATGTAGTGCAGAATATCACAGCGCCTGACGCTGCATGTGCATGGCCAGTTTTCATCCAATCACGAAGTGTTGCAGTCCTTGGTACGAGTGCAGAGATGGTTCATGAACCTTGGGCTTCATTAAATGCCCAAAACCATAAGAATTTGTCCTTCCATGCTGATGAGTATGGGATCTGTAACAGATACCGACAGCAACGTTTAACATCCAGACTGAAAAAAAGAAACATTTGCGAAAAGTAGAATTCAACACTGGACTGTTCTTCCACAATGTTACTGTTCAAAATAAAACATGTTTTATGAAAATCAACAAATAATTAATAAATTTATTAGCAATTTTGTAATTTCTTAGACACTGAAGAGGGAAAGAAGACTTGGAAAATTTGACACTCACATAATTTATAAATGATAATATTCGATGTTCCACAAAAATCCTTTTCTGATTATTGGAGGAGAAATGACTTTTTTATTTATAAAATAGGTCGAGATGGGCGATAATGTTTCTAAAGAAATTCTTTCTAGAAAGAACAAACCAGGCTCTGCAAAACCAGGCTCTGCAAAGGATGTTCAAGAAATTTTTTCAGAATAAGGAATAAATGTTACAATAATCTATAGAAAGGCAAATGTCGGATGTTTAGTGTTAAGTGAATTGTTCCAGAAATCTTCTTTTCCCATAGCTTCCATCTTCAACAGACTGGGTCACAAACACAAGGCAATGATTTAGTATTTCTTTTAGTATTTCATTGCAGAGATGAGTACATGCAAACATACTTGTATTGTTCTCATCTTAGTCGATATTATATAAATAACGTTTAGACTAAGCACATTTTGGCCATCGTCATGCATTCATTGATTAGCTGATATATGATATCTGTTGATTATTGCAATATTTTTGTTCTTGTGGTGTCATTTATTCTGTTGTCATTTTTCGTTCTCGGATTGTCACATGTATAGTTTATAAATAATGGAGCTGCCTTTCCTTCTGCCTGTTAGCCTGGCCACTTTTAAGTTTCTTGTTTCTGAGCAATTGTAATTTTCGACTAATGCTTCGAGCACGCCTTGTCTTAATTTCTCTCTTTCAGATTGGAAGTTACCATATTTGTGACAGTCAACACTTCTGAAAGAGAAATGGTACTATTAGAATTCATCGCATATCGCGTAACACCACGTTTTCCATTTATAGCTTGCTGAAATAATTCTCAAATGGCTGGCACATGTGACATCAGATACATTAAAAAAATTAAAATAAACAAAATATATTTTAAATTAAAGAGTAGTCACCAAAGGAGACTTACAAGATGGACTGAAGTCAGTCAAACTCAAGTCTTGATAATCGAAAAGCCAATATGTGACCTTGTGGGTGATGAATTTTTCCCCCTTTATAACTCCTTACCTACAGACAAAGCGTTGCAAGCTCTTCGCTATTCCATCGCTATTAGCAGAGGAAATGTTCAAACGAACTACATTTCTTAGTTATAGCAACTCTAAGACCCGCCACGTTGCGCACATTGAGGCGAAACACGCTCGTTACCTTCGTATTTCATTAGTAGGGAGAAGGTGCAACGCTGACAGCTTCTTCCCAGGAACTGTGTATTTTAATTTAGTGTTTTAATCTTTTATCTCGAATGAGTGTTCTCATTGTTTACACTATTTATATTCGGACTACTGTCCTCATCTTTCTTATTATCTCAACGTTTCGATCGTTGTACACTCCGGACTTCCTCAGACCTGCGGGAAATATGGCCTAGTGGATTAAAGCATTGGTTCAGGAATTTGGTTATATAATGGTTGTGAGTTCAATTCCTGGGTCAGGGAGTGCGTCCTTGAACTCCGTGCAAACGAACGAGAAATAACTGAACGAATTAAGAACAAGATAGGATATTCCTAGACATGGTTATAGTGGAACGAGAACAGTCTACCTCTGTAGATTAAATAAAGGTTACAGTTTGGAATTCCTGCTATATATACACCTAAAGAAAACAAAAGGTCTCCACGCCCGAAACGTTTTTTTTTTTTTTTGTGTGTGTGTGTGTGTGTGTGTGTGTGTGTGTGTGTGTGTGTGTGTGCGGATGAGGTTAAATGCTGAAATTTAATATTTTTATTGAGTAATTATTTATTTTTTGCCATCCTGCAATGTCAGATCAAAATTCAATAAGAATATTAAGTTCTTAAAAATTAAGTTCTCTCAAATAGAAAGAATATCAAAAAACTTTATACTATTTACCCTGATATGAGTTTTTTTCTTAACTTTTTGTTTGAAGTTTTGTTCAACGTCATTATTTAATCTTCTCGTTAAATAAGGAGAATCCATTTAACTGTTTTATTTTGTCCCTCACTTGATGATGTCCTTCTTTTATTTCGTACAGATCATTATTTGCAATTGTGTAGAGCCAAAATACAAGGTTCTTTCTTCTTAACTTCTTCTTAGGCGATAAAAAACAATTTTTTTTCCAGGTTTTCCATCTTGATGTCATTTGTTGTAGGAAACAATAAAAAAAAAAAACCTTTGAGTTATCCAGATAGAAATTTAACAGGTTACAATCATTTGGTCTCAGCTTCACTGTTTTCCAACAGAGCAATGGTGAGAGGAATAAGATCATTCGGGTTTTCCGTAATAGCACCGACATTCATACTCTAGCTTCCATCTCTAAAGTCCATTGAAGACTCATCAAGAGAACGATGAATATGTTTAAATAAGAAGGAACAGTAGAGAGAAAAACTGGATTAGGAGATCGCAACAGCAAGAGGGATCATCATTTCAGCTTAGATCTAAAAACATTCTTATTGTTCCAAGTAGAGTCCAATAGTGTTATAAAAACCTCGGAGAATTCCAGTAATATATCTTTAATCATTTCTAAGATACGGCGATTCAAATCTTAATCTAACAATTAGACAATTTTCCTGTTACACAAAATCAACACCGTGCGACAACAGTCTGCTTCATACTTTAACGCAAATTTCAGCACATCTTTGTTGCAAGTTG